AAGCTATACGATCCGATACTGGGCGGCCAATCTAAACTTTGCCTCCTCGCGACACGATCTGAAAGATCTCCCTCTTTATCCCATCGGTTCACGAGCATCCGCTCTCATTCCTCTCGTTTACATCTGACAATGAGACCGCCCCGCAAACGACTCCGCACGGGCTCTGCATCGAGCTTCTTAGGATCTGTCTCCCTCGAGTAAAAAAGAAACAACTTCCATACAAAGGAAAGTTTATACGAAACTTTCATCGTACAAATCAAACCTACAACGGAAAAAAGTTTTCTATAAACACGGGCATACTTGGCATATCAAGCTTGACAAACGCTACTCGGCTATTGCCCGATCGCGCTTCACTTCAATCCAAGTTTACAAACCGACTTGACCTTTTCGATAGCACGAAAGTGTCGTGGTCTAATCCTCTACCAAATACGACCTTGGCTGTGCGGCTGAGCACAACCTTCACGCAAAGCCAATACGTTCAACGGATAATGCAAACTTGTCGAAAATCGGCTAAGTTCTGTATTCTCGCGATTCTCTCTATTCCCGAAGCAAGTTGCCTACAAAATCTGACGGATAAGAAAACACTCGTACCAGAGCTCCTAAATCCGTACGAATCTCGGAAGGTCAACACTTCACAAAGCACCGTAACGAAAAACGCTTCATTTCGGGGAAACAACTTACGCGACCTCTCGGTCCTAATTGCTCTAGCACAAGTCATAAAACTACCTAACATCCAAACAGGAATGTAAGTTTTAATTGCGAATATCCGCAAACGAACCAAAGTGTTCCTGCAAAGCAGGGTTAAGACAAAACCCTCGCAACACCGCACAACATCTTCAAGCCCGCAAACGTTCCGAACACGAAACGCGAGATAGAAAATAAAAACCAACTTTTGGCACTGCGAGACGTCGTAGACGCCCGGAGATTAGTTTTTCGACATAAATACCTTCCTCGATAAAGTCATTTTCTTGGAAGACCTAACAGTCTGTCCGCGACTATAAAATTACGCAAAACTTCTTAACGTATGTATCCTTCGCGAAGGCCAAAAAAACGTAAACATTTATCGCCTAAAAAAGTTTGTTGCTGATCACAACAAACTCGCAACAGTCCTAAACAAACTTAAGTTATCTCACAGAGATAGCTCTCGAACACCCGACATAAGGGTAATAGCGCTATAAAAGAAATCCAAACTTTTGGTCAGCACTTTCAGGCAACTTAGAAATTTTTCCCGGTGAGATGCTCGGTTCGAACCAGACGAATCATATAAGCCGAGAACCTATCGCGGATTCTAAATCGGTATGGGATCAGGTTAAAATTGCAACAGGAAAAACGAAAGCCGACTAGTCATCGCATAGCCTCAATCCGAAAGTAAACCTAGGTCTTGTCCTAAACCCAGCACACTGGTCGCTAACGTCTCAAGGCATGAATCGAGATCCTAAAGGCATGTCTCTTCGTCTATATCTAAACGCTCACTCGATTTACTAAACATCCTAAGACGAGCAAACGAACAAGGCGATACACTAAGGAAAAAAGGAATGCGAGACGACAACTCGCGGACCTCCCTCAATATCAACTCATAATCTTCCCGCTACATTCATACGAATAAAAACATGCTCTTAAAATGCAAACTGATTTTTAATAAAGCCGCAAAAGCGGCAGGGACTCAGAGCCGCAAACGGCCAGTCCAAAAACTATAACGGCCATGCTCAACCAGACCAAACGGCCTACGAGGATAGTCTAC